GTGTGTGTGTGTGTGTGTGTGTGCGCGCGCGCGCGCATGCACACGCAAGCATGTGTGTCTGTTATGGGTTGAATTTGGTTCCTCACATATGTTGAAGTCATGAACCCCCATACCCGTGAACGTGGTGTTATTTGGAAATAGTTTTTTTGCAAATATCAAGTTAAGATGGGACCACAGTGGATGAAGGTAGGCCACACACCTAATGAATGCTGTTCCTAGGAGAAGGCCATGTGAAGATACCACCCAGAAGACAGAAGGCCACCATGTGGGACAGAGGCAGAGACTTGCGCGATGCCACCATAGCCAAGCATTGTCGGCAGTGACCAGAAGCTAGAGGTGGTACGGAAGGATCTTCCCTAGGACTTTCAGAGGCAATGTGGCTCTGCTGACAACGTGATTTTGGACTTCTGGCCTCTAGAACTGTGAGACCAAACATGTCTATTGCATTAAGCCTTCTGGTTGGTGGCAATTTAATACAATAGCCCTTGGAACTTAATGCAGCGTGCTTACTAAACGTGCAGAAGCACACTGATCTCTGAGGAGATCCAAGTTGGTAAGAAGGTACAGCCTAGGACTCCTGTGGAATTTCACAGAGCACAGTGTGATCCTGCCAGGCAGGTGGGGGCAGGGGACAGTCTGCAGACCACACAGAGTCACCTCAGCCCTGCTGGCTATCACTGAAGAGCGAGGGCCCCATCCGCCTCTGTGCAGCCTGGGAGAGTGCCTGACCTCCCTGAATCTGTCCCTCATCTGTCCTGGGGCCACTGAATTGTGGGGAGGAACAAAGAAGGCTGAGAAAGCCTCTGACCACTCCACAGACCCCAGAATGGAGCCAATGAGGTGGCACCGGAACAGCTGTCCCAAATAAATCTGGGACAGGGAAGCAAGAGGACCAGTCACTTGCTGAGTGTCCACCACAGGCTCATTCCCAGGCATCTGGTTCCATAGGGCATGGGGCTTACAGATCTGGGAGCAGCCAGGAGCCTGGCTGGGAAACGGGAAGTGACCATCAGTCCCAGAGAACAAGAAGCTTGGAAGGAGAAGCTCCTTTGAAAGGGCCACAGCTGCTGGACTATCAACCCACAAATGCCATCCTCATCCAGCTCCAGATGCCAGGAAGGGAGGGAAATCCCTTCTCACAAGCACCTGCTATGTGCAGATGTTGTACAAATGTCTGTTTTCCTCCTAAGGATTCTGCAAGGGAGATGTTAGATGTTCCCATTTGACAGTGGGGAAGACTGAGTCTCAGCAAAGGAAAGTCACAAGGTCAAGTTCACCCAGCCAGGGACACAGAGGAGGCTGATGGAAACACTGAGAGAGCACATGCTATGTCACGTGCCTTGGCTATGCAGGCAGTGGGAACTGCTATCCAGACACCCAAAAACCACCCTATGAAATACCTGATCCAAGCTGAGAAAACAGATGTTCAGAGAGGTTCCTTGCTGGGATCGCCTGGCCAGGTCAGGGCAGAGTAGGCATTGGAGGCAAACTCTGCCCCTTCCTACTTCCCAGGGCTGCTGGGAGGCAGGAAGGGGAGGAGATGGGGCCAATAATGGCTAATGACAGCAAATACTTACGTAGTGGCAGTTTCCCATCAGGCAATGCTCTAAGCAATCTATGCCTATGAACACATGTAATCTTTGCAATATTAACCCCATTGGAGATAGGGCTAGTGCAATTATTATAACCGTTTTACAGGGGAGGAAACTCAGGTGCCAGGAGGCAGCTGGGCTCAGATTCAAACTTGGGCAGCCCAGCTACTACCTCTCTGTTACAGGAAGGGCTGGGTGTTGGGCCGGTGGAGGAGCTGCTTTGTCTTGGCAGCAGGCCTAGCCTGGGGTTCAGCAGGTGTTCCCTGCACCCAGAGTGATGCTCTGGCCCCATCCAGGGGGCTCGTCTGCAGTTCCTCAGGTGGCCACTAAATGGTGGGGCCGCCCAGGCAGTGAGGAACTGCTGGCCAGGGAGGAACAGGAGGGAAGTCTGGGCATCTTCCCCAGGGACTCTCAGCCTGGTCCTGGCCACCCACCTCCAGCTCCCCGGAGAAGTCAGGTGAATGAGGCCTGCTGTGGTTTCAGAGGGTCAGGCTGAGGTACAGGCTGTGGTCTGGGGCTGGGGTGAGGCCCAGCTGGCAGTGGGAACACAGCAGGAGCCCACCCTGACCCAGGATGTGCTCCTCAAGACCAAGAGGGCCTAGGATGAAAGAGTCTGGGTGTCAGGCAGGCACGGGGTGGGGGTGGGCGGTAAGAGCTGCTTCTCACCATCCCCTGCACCTGGAATACCGCAGCAGCTGTCACCTCCCAGCCTCCACGCCTGCCCCTGCCCCAGCTAACCTCTAAAAAATGTAAATCAGGGCCGGGCGCGGTGGCTCACACCTGTAATCCCAGCACTTTGGGAGGCCAAGGTGGGTGGATCACGAGGTCAGGAGTTCAAGACCAGCCTGACCAACGTGGTGAAACCCCATCTCTACTAAAAATACAAAAATTAGCCAGGCATGGTGGCACTCACCTATAATCCCAGCTACTCAGGAGGCTGAGGCAGGAGAATCCCTTGAACCTGGGAGGCAGAGTTGCAGTGAGCTGAGATTGCACCACTGCACTCCAGCCTGGGTGACAGAGCGAAACCCTTTGTCTCAGAAAAAGAAAAAAAAAACAAAAAAACAAACGCAAATCAGACATTGTCCCCTGCACTTAAGAGAAGCCGGGCTCTGGCATGGCCTGTGGACAGTTTCGTCTTCCCAACCTCACCTCCCTCACTCCCTCCATAAGGGCTGTCCTGTGGTCCTCAAGACAAAGTCCTGCTTCAGGCACCTTCCCTCTGCAGGGCTCACCCTCACCAGTGAGGCCCCTTTTCCAACACCCTGCCCCCTCTCCCTGCTTCCTCCCTGCACAGCATTTGCCACGCCCTGACCACAGACCAAACAGCTCTAGTTTGCTGTATCTTCCTGGCCCCACTGGAATGCACCACCCAGGAGGCTGGAACCTGGGCTGTCTCTCTGACTACCCAGTCCCTGAACCTAGAGCACAGTCTGGCATAGGTAAAACACACATGTATTTTCTGAATGAAGAGAGGAATAGATAAGGGGTGGGAAACGATGGTTCAGGGCTGAATCTCGCTCACTGCCAACTCTTATAAATACTTTTACTGGAATACAGCCATATGCATTCACTTACATATCATCTAAAGCTGCTTTCACAAGACAGTGGTGGAGTTGGTAGTTGAAACAGAGACTGGATAGTTCATAAAGCCTAAAATATTTACTATCTGTCCCTTTACAGAAGAGTGTGGGTCCCTGGGATGCATGGATGGATGGATGGATGGATGGATGGTGGATGCATGGATGGATGGTAGATGGATGATGATAGATGGATGGATGCATGGATGGATGGTATGGATGGATGGTGGAGGGATGAAGGGATGCGAGGGAGTGAGGGAGTGAGGGTGAGAGGGTGGGAGGGCAGAAATAGGGGGATGGAATGGAAGATGGGAAGGAGGAAGGAAGGATGGATGAATGAATGAATGAATGAATGGATGGGTGGGTGGATAAAAGAACCAATGAACCAGCTACCAACCCCAGGAGGGGAAAGGGGTTGAGGAAAAGGGGTCCCAATACCTCTCTTCTGAGGCAATCATGACAACAGGAATGCTAACTTCTGTGCCAGGCACCAGGGCTGAGCATTCCTGTATCACATCTCTCTTAACTCTCACCATCACCCTACATCCTGGAACCTGCTGCTGCTTCCATTCCTCAGTTGAAACACTGGAAGCTCAGAAAGGAGATGTGCCCTGCCCAGTCACTCAGCAGGCAAATGGCAGAGCCGCCATACTGGCGCCTGGCTGCCTCGCTCACACCCCTGCCTTCTGCGGGCACCACCCTCCGTACTGCCCCATCACCACGGGTCCCTGGTCCTCCAGCTGCCCCTTTCCCCAAGGCAGACTCACCCTGGGCAGGTCACAGATCCCCTGGTGGAGGGAGTGCCACAGCCAGTGTGCGTAGTCTGTACTTCTCCCCAGAAGCTCTGCCGGGCACAAGAGGCCCTAAGGACGTGCTCCAGCATGGCCTCCATGATGATCTTCTCTGGCTGAGATGGCTGATGCCTCTGGAATGAGAGGGCCCATGTGTCAGGGGCTCATCACGTAAGAGAATGCCCATGGCCAGCTGCAGGTGGAGACACTCACCTAGCAAGAACATGTGCCAGGAATCCACCGTCAGAGCCCTCATCAGCTGCAGCACTCCCTTACACTCTGGTGCAGGATTTTCTTCTTTTTGAGACAGAGTCTTGCTCTGTAGCCCAAGCTGGAGTGCAGTGGCACAATCTCGGCTCACTGCAACCTCCACCTCCCAGGTGCAAGTGATTCTCCCACTTCAGCCTTCCAGATAGCTGAGACTACAGGTGCACATCACCATGCCCAGCTAATTTTTTTGTATTCTTAGTAGAGACAGCATTTCATCATGTTGTCCAGGCTGGTCTCGAACTCCTGACTTCAGGTGATTCCCCGTCTCAGCCTCCCAAAGTGGTGGGATTACAGGCGTGAGCCACTGCACCCTGACCATGGCAGGATTTCTGCTGTGAGCCCTTAGGGGGATGGGCCTAACAGTCCCAGGAACCCAAATGGGAGGCCCAGAAGAGGAAGGGGGCTTCCAGGGTCAGTTCTCCCCAGTTCTCCATGGGCGGGTTCCTGCCCTGGCTCTGCAGAACAGTGCTCAGCCCCATGAGGAGCCCATCAGGTAGTGATGCTGGAGGAGACCTGGTCCCTGATGCCTCCAGGAACCTGAGCTCCCGGTCTCCCTCCGGCCCCTCCTGAGAAGCCCACTAGCACCCCACCTTCTTCCCCATCTGTTTCCAGCATCTCATGCTGGAAACACATGCCTTTCTTGTCTTCCAGAGCCCTCACCACATCCCAGGGGTAGGAAGGGAGTATTGTGCCCATTTCACAGGTGAGAAAATCAAGGTGCACAGCAGAGAAGTGAGTTGCCTAGAGTCCCACAAGCACTGGAACTGAAGACCACAGTCCCAGAGTGGGGCACTCCTGCAGCATTTGGAACCGTGTGGGGGTTCCCTGCCTGGACACTGCTCCCCAGGCCTCACCTAGTATGTCAAGTTCTGCCGTATGCACTGCTGGCCCCAGGACAGGTCCAGCTGTTCAGTGAACACGTCTGGGGTCTGTGTTATGGCCCCGCAGGCCCGGAGAGGGTCCAGGCCCAAAATTTCCTGGAGCTGATAGAAAAGAGAATGGGGTACATGACCTGGGAGAGGGGGCAGCTGAGAAGCCTGGAGGAAAGGGGAGCCCCACACTGGGCACAGCAGCCAGACCCCACATACCTGCCCTGGGGAGGCAGCCAGGCAGCCATTCAGGTGGTGGTGTGTGCTGAGAACCTGTCAGCACAGGCGAGCTGCAGAGTCTAGGGCTGTCCTCTGTTCCAGGTGAGCTGTACCTGCATTGAGATGGGAGGGCAGTGGTGGGAGTAAGGGGGAGACTCGGGGGAGAAGAGAGGCTAATGGCACCCCCACACCCCATCTCTGTTGAGAAATGAGAGGTTAGGGAGGATGGAGAAGCTGGCACCGCCCTCCTGCAATATCCCTGTAGAGGAATTAGGATGGAGGATGAAGAGATTGCCCTGCCCCTCATCTCTGGAAGAGCCCAGAGCCATTCCCAGGCTGCAGACTGAAAGCATCTGGATTAAAAAATCTGCGTCATCCCCAACACCCAGACTCAGCATTTCCAAAAGCAGAAAGCAATCCCGTGCCTCCATGCGGCCTCCAGGGCCAGCAGGATCTGCCCCTGCTGGTCTGACCTCATCTCCCTGTCACCTGCCCCATCAAGCACTCTGCCCCTGTCTTATTCCCCTTCCAGCGCTCCCCGAAGCACCAGGCTCCTTCCCACCAAAGAAGCCTTTGCACATGCTTTTCCTGCCTCCTGCAGTGCTGTTTCTGCAGCTTTTTGAAAGCCTGGTCCTTCCCATCTCAGGGCTGCCTCCCCCATGAGGCCCTCACTGACCACCCGCCTAAAGTAGCTCCCCCACCCACCTGCCCAGTTACTCTCAATCTTATGTACTCTTTACTTTTTTTTTTTTTTTTCTCTGAGATGGAGTCTCACTCTGTCGCCCATGCTGGAGTGCAATGGCATGATCTTGGCTCACTGCAACCTCTTCCTCCAGGGCTCAAACGATTTTCCTGCCTCAGCCTCCCGAGTAGCTGTGATTGCAGGTGTGCACCACCATGCCCAGCTAATCTTTTGTATTTTTAGTAGACAGGGTTTTGCCATATTGGCCAGGCTGGTCTCAAACTCCTGATCTCAAGTGATCCGCCAGCCTCGACCTCCCAAAGTCCTCGGATTATAGGCGTGAGCCACTGCACACAGCCCATCTTTACTGCTTTATGGTGCTTATCGCACCTTCAGATTTTGAAATTCATTCCTTGGCTTGAATTCTGGAGAGCGTCTTTTGCCTGCACACAACTGGCCTATTGTCCCCCCTTTCACAGATGGAAAAACCGAAGGCTCAGAGACGCGATGGAAGATGCCAGAGGCCACCCAGCCAGATGAGGTGCCCAGCTGCTCACTCAGTCCCCAAAACTACCACTAAACAGGCAGCTATAAATGATGAATTGGAGACGCCCCGACCTGTTTCCCACGTTAAAATGTGAGCTGTCCGCAAACACTGCATGTTATACAGTAGGTGCTTAATGAGGTATTGATAAAGGAACAACTGAATGAAGGACCCTGGAGATCCCAGGCTTCAGGGAGCTGTGATTCTGGAGAAGTCGTTGTCACCGATGAACAGTCTCCTTCTCCTACCTGAGGTGCCCAGTCCCCTAGGCTCAGCCACATAGCTCCCAGCTCCTGCCCCTGCCAAGGGCGCCTGGGACATCCTCACTCACCTGCCGGCTCTGCCTGCCACCCCTGCTCTCAGCAAGGCCACTTGCCTCAGCTTGCCACCAGGAGACATTGAATGGGTGAGCCAGGGCCAGGCGGGCAGTCAGCTCACTCTTCCCCAGCCATCGGGAAGAGGAGACCAGCACCTGGGGAGGGGGACAGACAGCCAGGGGCCTTACCCAGACAGGCTGCACCTCTTTCCCACCTGCACAGACCACCATCTCCATCAAGGTCAAGGCTGCAAGGACAGATGGCATTGAGTACAAACCCAGCCCTGTGCAAGTCCCTGGGAGAGCTCAGCCCATTTCTCAGAGGAGGACATCGAGGCTTGGAGAGGAGAAGATGGAATGAACACATGACAGAGATGAAACTGGAGGTTGCCCTCCTCTTCCACTGTCTTCCCTAGCTCTGTGTCTCCGGGCCGATCACAGCATCTCTAAGTCCTTCAATTTCGTCATCTGAACACAGGGCTATTAATAGCACTGAGCAGATTGGAGGCTGAGGTGTGGGCTGACCCACAGCACCTATCATGGGATAAGCATTCAGGGCCTGTCAGCCACAGTCACCTGCCGTGCCTTTCAAGGTGTTGTGGGGACCCAGGTCTGCTGCTGCCCTTCTAGTGAGACTGTGGGACATGGTGCAGCCTTCTCAGCCTCAGGTAAGACTCCTCCAGCAGGGGATGGCCCCAAGGATCCTGCTCAGCCTGCATGGTGGAGTTCAGCTCTGCCCCAGGGTGACCTACAGCCCTGACACCTACCTGGTTCCTGCCATCCCAGCTGACAACCAGGCCATCCCAGTGGCTGCCTCCAGAATGCTCTGAGGACAGGTGGAGCCTGCAGTGTTGAGGCAGGGGGAGGGGCAGCGGGTGGGCGAGCTCCACTGGGTGGGGGAGGACACACACAAAGGGTAGGCCATGTGAGCTGAGGTCAGCAGCTCCAGTCCCAGGGTGGTTCAGAGGACTCTTGGCGGCCGTCGCTGCCAGCTCAGGCAGGTGGCCACTCAGGGCCACACACCCAGATAATTTTCGCAAAATTTGGAAGCTATGCACTCACTTTGTCACCATTACCACTTGACACCCTGCACTGTCCCTAGGGGAATCTCCATTACAATGAGACTTCAAGGCTTCTCCTGGTGGTGACATCTGCCTCCCCAACCCTCGGACCTGGGCTGGCCTCGTGATGTTCTAATAGAATTCAGTGAAGTAACTGAGCTAGCGCCAGTTCTAAGCCCAGGCCTTAAGAGGCCTCGCCATACTTCCTCCCTTGAACCCCTTCCCAGCCACATGAGAACCAACCGTGCTCACCCTTGGGCAGGTGCCACCCAGGGTTGGAGGGAGCCTGGTTTCAGCTCAGGATGTCCGAGCGAAGATGACAGCCAGCCCCCGAGCAGGTCAGAGTCCAGCCAAGGCCAGTGGGGCCGCCTGCTCACCCTACAGACCTGAATATATGGAAGACCAGAAAAGCTGCCCAGGTAACCCACAGCCTTGTGAGCAAGGACCAATGCTTGCTTGATGCCTCTGAGTTTCGGAGCAATTTTTTACCATCTTGAATCAAGATTTAATGGGAGCAGCCCCAACCCCCAACAACCTGCATTGCTCTTGGGGGCCTCACATGCATGGGTGAGGCCTCTCAGATTCGCCACGCCCTCTCAGATTCCCCACGCCCCCATGCCACCCAGTCCTATGCTCTCCTTCCTTCTCGGGGTATGACAGGTGGCAGCCCATAGCTGAGTCCTCGCAACAGTCTGCACACCCTGTCTTCTTCCTTTGTCCCCCAGGTAAGTCAAGCTGCCCTGACCTCCTGCATCACTTGACTCCACCTCCTGAGGCCCCTGCACAGTCCTGCTTTCCCAGACCCCTATAGCAAGAGGCTGCCTGGGGGCCCTTTGTGCTGTAGTGAGCTCTGAGCTCTGTACAAAGGGCACCCACCTGTTGAGATGGGCTGCAGGGAGCTGTGCCCAGAGACACGGGCACTGGCTGGTTCTCAGGGCATCACCTAGTCACTGGTTCTGGGGAGGCTGACCACATGCAGGGCTGGAAGCCTTTTCCCTGCCACCCACTGACCCACCAAGTGCAACACGGTGACCACAGTGTGGGGCTGCAAGCTGTGAGGCTCACCAAGGGTGGCACAAATATACACACACACACACACATCTATGCATGTGCATATATACACACACCCATGCACACAGGCATACATACACACATGCATGCACACACGCATGCTCACATAAGGCATACACATGCACACATACATTCGTACACGTGCATACAGGCATGCACACATACACAGGCATACATACGTGCACATACAAGCATGCATGCACACATGCAAGCACACATGCACATGCAGGCATACACACGTGTACATACAGGCATGCACACATACACAGGCATGCATGCGCACACATACACACAGGCATACACACACATGCACACTGCCTTGGCCTGTTGAGGACCTGCTCATTTCCTCTGCCTTCCAGGGCACACTTGGAGGATTCCACAGGCCACCTGGCAAGCCATGCCCCCAGGCTGGGGCCTGCACTCTGTCTCTGCACCTGGTGGGTCTGGGGTTGGGTTCTTCTCTGTGCCCAGGGGGTTTCTCACACAGAAACTGACAGTCTGCATGGCTGCACAGACCACGAATGACAGCCCCTTCCAGGGATGCCTGTTCCTGGCTAATTTTGTATTTTTTTAAAAAATACAGACAGGGTTTCTCCATATTGGTCAGGCTGGTCTTGAACTCCTGACCTCAGGTGATCCATCCGCCTCAGCCTCCCAAAGTGCTGGGATTATAGGCATGAACCACTACGCCTGGCCTTCCCGTAGATTTTCAAATGGCTGCACTTATCAGCCAAGGCAAGCTCAAGCACCACCTCCTCAGTGGAGCCTTCCCTGGCCACCTAATCTAAATACACTCCCTGTTCACTCAGTCACTTCCGTACATTTTCTCCATATCTTACTACTATCTATTTGTGTCATTTTGGGTAGTTAATCTCCCCCACTACAGTACACAATTGATGAGAGGAAGGACCGATCAGTTCCATTTTAGGTCACACCCCACCTTCTGAAATAGTGTCTGGCACCTAGTAGATGGTCAATAAATCATGCAAAAGGAAGAAGGGATGGATAAAGACACCAGCTGATAATCTACTCCAGCAAATTTTGTCCATTTCACAGCCTTGCCTGCCCTTCTTCCCAGGAACCAGGACATTAGGACAATTTCTTTTTTTCTCCAAGGGCTGTCCCAGGAGCCCCCCACCCCCACCCCAGCATGCCTTTGGCCTAAGCTGTCCTCCACACACCTGCAGGAAGGAATGTTTCACCTTCATGAAGTTGGTGAGACTGGCCTTAGCAGCTACCAGATGGGTGCTGATGTGAAAATGATGGTCCTCCATGCCCAAGGCAAACGTGCTCTGAACCTCACCCTTGGAGTAGTGTAGCTGAATCAGGAAAAAACAAACACAGACATGCGTGCACACGCGCGCGCACACACACAAACACACACACACACACACACACACACACACACACACAATAGATCTCATCAGGGCTCTGATGGAACATTTAAACAGATGCTGGCTTTAAGCCGTGAGCTCTGCCTCCTGAAGCCCCAGGCCCAAGAGACCCACA